TTATACCACTTGGTGATAAGTTCAGGCGTCCCCCCTACTCTGCACTCCAGTGTAAAAGGGTTGCCTGCCATCACTGTGATCGGCTCAGTCTTCTCTAAGATGACTGCTGGTTCTGAAACAGGAAGGAAAGGGAAAATGCATCATCAGGAAATTCATCTGCAAACCACTAAGCAGAGGATAAAAGAAGCAAATAAAGGTGGTAGAGGAAACTGCAAGCCACAAGATATGGTACCTGTGGAGCAGGCTATACCCACCTAGGACTTGTAAAAATGCAGAGCACTCCCTCATGCCAGCATCATTTTTAATCTGACAGATGTACTTTCCAACATCCGCTCCCTCAGCACTGGCAATCTCAAGAGTTGCAATATTGTCCATAAACCACATTTGGACATTTTCACTCTCCCTAATAACTTCACCCTTGTCTTTCAGCCATACAACAGAAATTGGTGGGGACCCTTCCACCACTGCCTGCAGGGCTGTTGGCTCTCCAACGAAGATTGCAGTGTCACTCAGCTTCTTGGTGAAGCGTGGGGGCTCTGATGGTAAAAATGAGGCAGAGGAGATTAATCACACATGCGTGCTTGAAAGAGATGCAGCCAGGAGATCAAGAAAAGAAGGCATTGGTATTGTTGATCCTTTAGCATACAAACCTTTGAATTTCACTGGGCAGGTGCAAGTGTCACTCCCCACTTCATTCATTGCCTTGCACTGATATTCTCCAGTATCTTGAGATTCCAGGCTGAGTATGTGAAGGCTGGCAATGGAGTGCTTTGCTGTTACCTTGAACTTCTTGCTGCTCCGGACCTGCCTCCGGTCCTTAAACCAAGCCACCTCAAAGGGTGGAGTCCCTGCTATCTCACACTGGAGGATAACATCCGAGCCTTTAAGTGTGTCCACAGGGCTCGGCACCTTGCTAAAAACAGGCGGTTCTATAAAAAAAAGAATCACATCATAATGTGTGAGACTGCTTCCCTGGGTAAGTTTCTGGATAGTATCAAAAGGCAACTTATTCAGGAAGGAGGCCTGTACTTCTTCTATTTAGTCTCCAAATACATGGCCTCTCCTCTAAAAAATGCTGAGCACATCTCTCCAGGAATTCATCCCAAGCACTCAGAGTCTCAAGGCCAATATGGCACTTCTGTATCTGGAATCAGAGCACAGATCCCTCCCCCAGAGTCATTCTCCCCTCTCTCCAGGACCATATTCCAGCTTTCCCCATCTCTTTCCAATTATGAAAGTTACAATCAATTAGGTTCAGTGCAAAAGCCCTCCTCTTACTAGATTTCACTCCTGTCTGAATCAACGTATATGAAAAGGAGGCAGAGGGATGGCTGCGAAGTGTGTCCAGCTCTCTCACCATGGCTGGTGCTCCATCTATTCCATGCTTCTCTTCTGAGCTGGCAACCTTGCCTTATTCAGCTTGCAATTGACTTAAATGGGGAGGGGCAAGGGAGTGGCTACACAGCGTTCAACACCCACTACCACTTTCTGCCTACTTTCTGTTGCCTACATCACATCTCTGTTCAAATGTGAGAGCAGCTGGAGACACTGCCCCAGCAGCCAAAACTACCACGGTAGCAGCTCCCTGCCTCGGTGTGCAGCTGAGAGTGGGATCAGGATTGCGGTGGTGTGTGGAGCCATGCTGCTGACCTTTAACGGATACTGAAGTGCTACAGCTGGCAGCGCCGGCAGAGTTTTGGGCTTCACATATATAATCACCGGCATCCTCAGCGCTGGCATCCAAGATAGTTAGCACTGCTGTAGACTCTACAAAGGACATGTGGAGCCTGTTGCTCGCCTGGAGTGCCTGATCATTCTTGTACCACGTGATCTTGATCTCTGGTGTGCCAGTGATTTTACATTCAAGTTGAACCGTGTCTCCCTGCCTCACAAACTGCAAAGCTTCAGGCTTCTTGATGAACTTGGGAGGTTCTGCAGAAAAAAAGTATGTAAAGAATGACAGCACGCATTTGCCACATGAAATCTACAATGCTGAGCAAAAGTCACAGGGAGCACAAGAGCACTGGAGTGCAACAAAGAAGGAAAGATGTAAGAAGGATTAAAGATGGCAAAAAGAACCAAAACTCGGTTTCGCCCACTCTGGAGGTGTAAAAGACACTTGAACGACGATTGTTCCACTCAAAAGAAATTTTGAAGTTACCTCTGTGGGGTGAAAATATTCCAAGAGCAGCACAAAAGTAGTGACAAGCCCATCTCCCCCAGGATCCTACCCCAGAAGCATCAAAAATGGTAGGTACAGTGGCACTTGCTTGCATATCTTTAAGGCATATTTCTGCATGAAGAACTTAAGTAACTTATAGTCCAGGTTAAATCAGTAATTAACAACTCTAACTGAAATATGCAAGATAGTTGTATTTTACCACTGAATAATCACTACGCATGAATACCCCTGTAAGTGTAATTTAAGCACTAATGAAGAAGTAGGATATTATCACGTGCAGCTCTCCATACCAACAAAGAGCTTTGCAAAGAGATTTGTCCCTTTGGAGAATTGGCAGGTACACAAATTTTCTATTGGCACACAGTATGAGAGCAGCAGAGTCATCTCATGGCATGTCTGCTTTCTGAAAAGCTCACTTCTATATATTTCCAAGCTGAAAAGGAAGATGAGGCTCACTAATAAAGAGGCCTCTATACCCAAGAGAAAGAGAACATGCAAACAAAGTTGGCTTAATCACAAATACCTTTCACAGTGAGTTGGGCTGAGCAAAAGTCTTTCCCAGCTTCATTACTAGCCTGGCAAGTATATTGGCCAGAGTCTCCTTTACCCACTCTGAGCACTCGAAGATGAGCTGTGTTTGCTACAAAAGTAATATTGAAGTTTCCTCCAGTTCGGATCTCCCGACCATCCTTGGACCAGGTGATTTGTATTGGCTGGGCTCCAGTAACATGGCATTCAAAATCAGCACTTTCTCCAAAAGGCACATCAATAGATTCTGGCTTAGTATCAAAGACAGGTGCTTGCTTGGGTTCTAGAAACATACACACACAAAAAACAATATAATGCTCATACAGCTCATAGAAAAGTTAATCCAAAACACAGATACCATTCCATACATAAAATGGGAAGGAGGCACCTGTGATCCAGGCAAAAGTTTTGTAAGCCAACACACCTGTCACTGTAAGCCTAGCACTTGTGTTGGCAGTGCCCACAGCATTAGTGGCTGTGCAGGTGTATTGCCCAGTGTGATTCATCTCTGTTTGCACCAGTTGCAACACTGCAACATTATCTACAAAAGACATGTGCACACTGTGGTCATCACTTAATTGCACACCATCTTTATGCCAAGTCACAGTGATGGGTTCTGAGCCGTTGAGTCGACACATAAGTTTAAGGGGTAAACCAACAGGGTGTTCGATGTCTTTTAATCTTCTTGCAAAGGAAGGTGGTCGTTTGCGTTCTGGAAGAAAACAAGTAAAAGATAAATGTATGCCAAGAAGCAATTTTTTATATAATTTTGCAAGAGAAGAAGTACAGTAAAGAAGCATTTGGAACAAAATCATCACCTTGAACTGTTAAGAGAGCCTTTGTAGATGCAGTTCCTACACTGTTTTCTGCCTTGCAGATATATTCGCCGCTGTCATTGATAGCCACTTTGTTGAAAGTGAGGGAAGCAATGTTGTCTTTAAAGAACACTTTGTACTCAGGAGTAGACCTGAGTTTTGTATCACCTTTGTACCAAGACACAATAATTTCTGGGGTTCCAGCAACATGACATTGCAATGTTGTATAATCCCCAACTGACACCTCAAGAGGTTCCAAGTGTGTAACAAAATAGGGAGGTTCTAAAAAGAGAAGCAATGAGATAGGCTCATTATATAGTGCCAGGCTTTTGAAAGCACATACTTCAAAGAATAGGCAAGAAAAAGAAGAAAAGGAAGAACACACCTAGAGTATTGACTACAGCTTCGCAAACATCTCTTCCTGCCTCATTTTCAACATGGCAGGTGTATTCTCCTGCATCCTCTTTCGTGCTGTCAAGGATCTCCAGGATGCAGGATTTCTCTGTGGTAGTGATGCTGCATTTGTGAGACTGAGCGAGTGTGTGGCCATTCTTCTTCCATGTCACAGAGATGGGCAAGCTGCCCGTGTATGTGCCCTCCAGGATGATGGGCTTACCAGGTTCCACATATTGATCACTCAGTTTCTTCACAAAGACAGCCGGTTCTAATGATGGATAAGAATTCAGAAGCATTGAGCATAGCAGCAGTAACAAATGGAAAGAAAGAAACAGTATTTTAGGGCATACAAAGAAATGCAATATTTACGAACCTTTTACTGTAAGATGTGTTGTACAATTTGCCCTGCCAGCTTCATTAGTCACTAGACAAGTGTATTCTCCACTTTGGAGAGGGGTTACATCAAATAACTCAAGCTCCACAACAGAGTCCTCTAAGTAAATATTGCATTTGTCTCCTGGCACAAGCTCACTGGCTCCTCTAAACCAGTTCACCTTAAAAGGAGGAGTTCCTCTGATAACACCTGTAAAAGTTACGCTTGTGCCTGGCAAGACATCCAAAGGCTCAGGTGTCCTCTCAAAAGATGGTGGTTCTAAACATATAAGAGAAAAAGAGAGATAAGGCAGTTGGTACAGCATAACCCCAGCATTTCCACATACCTACTGAAGTTAAAGAAGAAAACCTTTACTTTCTAGTCAGTAATATCTCTCAATATGCTTACAAAAGACCAGAGGCAATTTTAAGAAAGAAAGAGAAAAGAGTAGCTCAGAGAGCTTGCTGACCGTCATATACTGACCTTGGACAGTCAATACAGCACTGCATTCATCTGAACCAGCTACATTGGTAGCTTTACAGGTGTAAGTTCCAGTATCTGAATTGCTCAGTGAATTCACTTCTAAAATACACAGGTTATCAGTAAATGTGATATTATGTTTTTCCCCACTAACTAACTTCATTCCATTTTGGAACCAGTCAATAGATATAGGAGGTGAACCCGCCACTTTGCATTCAAGAAGTGCTGAGGAACCCAGGACACCAGGGGTTTCCTTTAGCTTTCTTGTGAAAGAAGGAGGAATTATTCGATCTGCATAAAAAAAAAATATAATAAATCCATTGTTAGAAAGAAAAGGAGGAAAGGAATGGAATCAAGAAAAGAATATGCGAATAAAAGAAAGTTTTAGTAAAAGATAGAAGACAAACTACACAACCAACCTAAAACTTCAACCGATGCCGTGCAACTGCTTTTCCCCACATCATTTTGCACTGCAAAAGTGTACAATCCACCATCTTCTTTCTCTGTGTCCATAATTTTAAGTGTAGATACTTTGTTGACAAAAGTAATTCTGTATTTTTGGCTGCTGGTCAGTTCTTTGCCATCCTTAAACCACCCAGTAGATAGTTCTGGTGTGCCTGCCACTTTGCACTCCAAAGTACAGGCATCTCCTATAGTAACCCTCATTGGCTCTGCCTTCTCTACAATGACTGCAGGCTCTGGAAGGAGAGACAATTAACACGTGTAGTGAAAACTGGATATCAGTAGTAATATCTGCAAGTATTATTACACTGAATTCAGGGCTTATATGTTTGATACTAAGGTTGTCTCGGTTTGTTGGGTTGGGAAATATTTTCAACTCTGTTTTTCCATCTTTTAACCCACTCTTAGATATTTCAGATGTTCTCCAACACGGAGAACAAGTATTTTGAAACTTCTAGAAGATAAACGCAACTATCTGTCTTTCTTCAAGCATGCATGAGCAGAAGACATGGCTTACGAATACAGACAACCGAACATCACAGTGAAGAGGCCTGTAGTTCCTTCCACTTCTATCCTTGGGCAACTGGAAAAAACCAACCCAGCTAATATTTACTGGAGACGCAGGATTCTCTGTTTTGCCTGTTTTGAATTCAGCAGCATAAGCAAAGGATGCATCTGATACTAAATTACCAAGTTCCTAACTTAACAAAGATGTTCTATAAATTTGTGCTTTTTACAAACCTAGGATAGTTAAGGTAGCCATACACTCGCGACTTCCAGCATCATTTCTGATCTGGCAGATATATTTCCCAGCACTGCTTGTTTCTGTGTGTACAAGCTGTAAAGTTGCAATATTTTCCATAAATGTGATCTTTGTGTTTTCGCTTTCTCTAATAATTTCTTCCTTGTCTTTAAGCCACTGCACAGAAATCGGCTGGGAGCCCTCCACTCTTGCTTGTAACTCCACTGGTTCACCAACCACAACAGTCACGCTGTTTATTTTTGTCACGAATTTCGGCGGTTCTGGACAAGAAACATGCAGTTGTAGTAAATACAGTGTCTACAAAAAAGAGGAGCAATGCGGTGCCATTGGGAGCACTACAGAAGGCCAATATCTTACCTTTCAGCTTCATCGTGCAAAAGCAAGTGTCACTTCCTACGTCGTTCTGAGCTTTGCATTGATATTCACCAACATCTGCAACTTCAACGTTAAGAATGCGAATGCTTGTATGGTAGTTCTTTGTTGTAACCTTATACTTCTTACTACTGCAGATCTGTCTCTTGTCTTTGTACCAGGTAACGTCAAATGGTGGTGTTCCTGAAATCTCACATTCCAGGCTAACCTCAGTTCCTCTGAGCATGTCTACTGGAGAGGGCTTCCTGCTGAACACAGGAGGTTCTACCAAGGGAAGAAAGGATCATTTTTAGAAAGGAGTATAGAAATCTTTGATCAACAGTTTATTTATATAAGCTCTTCCACATCAAGACTGCTGGGACAACCAACAGAAGTACGACGACTTCACTCAATTTTCTGGGCACATCATGAAAGGCAGGTGAGCTTTCAGAGCTCTGAGCTCCTTTGTAGAAAAGGTAAAAAATAGAGGTGTGATCTTTGACAGAGAGGGTATAGGTCTCATAGTCTGTACTAGAGGGTGTAAAACTGACACTGATTAGTTTGGATCTGTTCTTCATAATTCATATTGCGGCTCCATAGTATAGCAGATCTACCTGTCTTGGGCCTTGGGGACACTTGGTAGTCATGGGGAACACCTAGTCTAGTACACATCTGCATTACAAATAACTCTTCCTCATACTGTGGAAGAAGAGGTGAGGAGATATTAAGAAAAAAAAAAAAAAAACAAAGAAGAAAAAGGTACTGCCTGAAATTAGAAGTGAATCTAATGTTTTTGTGGATTTCAAGGGGGGGGGGGGAACCACTAGGGAAAAATAGGATGTACTCAGGGAAGAAGACGACAGCTAACCTTTCACTGTGACTTTGGTACTGCAGCTGGCCTTGCCGGCAGGGTTCTGAGCTTCACAGATGTAGTCACCACTCTCGTCTGTACTGAGATGATTCATTTCAAGTACGGCCATAGAGTCGATGAATGAGGTCCGGAATTTTTCACTGGCAACAATTTCATGGTCGTTTCTGAACCACACTACTTTCATTTCTGGAGATCCACTTACTTTGCACTCAAGCCGGGCTGAGTCACCCTGCTTTACTATTTTTGTTGCCTCTAGCTTCTTAGCAAACTTGGGTGGTTCTAAAAAACCAAAAAAGTGGAGTCAGAAAGGTCTGCATACTGGAAAGGAAAGAGGATGGAAAAGAGCAAGTCAAACAAGCACGGGTTGCAAATGCAGAGCAGGGAATTCACTTGGCAAGGTATCAAAGATCACTAAGGTGGGCATGGCAGAAAGAAAAGCAAAGAAATAGACAGAAAGACTTCAAAACAGCAAGAAAATGTGCACACCTGTTACCATCAACATTGTAGTGCAAGAGTCACTGCCAACATCATTTGAAATATGGCAAGTGTAGTGCCCACTCCTAGAAGAATCCACTGAATAGAGGGTTAAAAACCCAGTTGACCCTTCAATCCCAATGAAACAAGTTGGACCAGATACAAGTTCTAAATCCTCTTTGAACCACTTTACTGTAAATGGTGGTGTTCCTTTTAGTGTGGCCTTAAATTCCACCGTGGAATCTGGGATGGCTTGCTGGCTTTCAGGTTTTACTAAGAAGCTTGGTGGCTCTGCAGTTTTTAAGAAAAAGAAACGTTAAGTTATATCAAGAATGCCTAAGAATGAAGAAAATGAGTAAGTTAAGCAAAGGCACTGAATGCATAAGAGGTTAAAGATCCCAGCAAGAAAATGGAGACCAAGTTTCCAGCATTAAGAGGTATAAGAGTGCTACATTAGCATAAGATTTACAGGTTTTTCTCAAGAAAAAAAAAGTAGTCAAAGAGTTTCAAACCTTTCACTGTCAGGACAGCACTGCAAGAATCACTTCCAGCAATGTTAGAGACATTACATGTGTAATTTGCAGTGTCTGTCAGCTCTAGATTAGCAATCTCAAGTGACATGGTGTTCTCGTGGCACAGGCTTCTATATTTTGCACTGTCAGTTATTTCTTTCCCATCCTTGAACCATTTGGCAGAAATGGGAAGTGATCCAGAGACTTTGCACTCCATCTGAATAGAAGATCCCAGAACCGTATCCTTTTTGGTTAGCTTTTTGATAAATAAGGGAGGAATTGCTTGATCTGTACAACACAAAACATGGCAAAAATGCACTGGTTACTTTACTGCTTATCTTTCACAATCTACTTTTTTTTTTCTTTTTTTTTTTTTTTCACTCTCTTCTTGTTGGATTGGCAAATTTGCCAAATGACAATACAAACCTAGCACAGTCAGAATAGCTTCGCAGGTGCTACTTCCGAAGTCATTTTCAACCTTAAAACTGTATGTACCACTATCTTCCTTCGATACAGGTTCAATCCTGAAACTGGCCACATTGTTTTCAAAGCTCATTGTGTAATATCTACTGGGTAGAAGCTGTCTGCCATCTTTGTACCATTTTATTCGGAGCTCTGGTGTCCCCTCCACAGTACATTCCAAAGTCACAGGGTCTCTTTCAGTAACTTTAAGTGATTTAGCCTTTTCTATAATCCGTGCAGGCTCTGTGGTACAAAAATGGTTGTTAGTGACACTGAAAAGTGACTGATTTTCAAGGATGAGCTTGAAGGGGTGCAGCTACACACCTTGCACAAAAAGCAAAGCAAAGCATTTCTCCACTCCAGATTCATTCTTTGCCTGGCAGGTATATCTCCCCCTGTGGCTGAGGTCGACATTGGCAAGTTTCAATGTGGCCACATTATTCTCAAAGGTAATGTGGTGGTGTTCATCATCTTCCAGTATCTTCTCATCCTTTATCCATGACACAAATAAGGGTTGAGCACCTGCTACGACACACTGGAAGGATGCGGAGCCTTTCAAAACAGTAGTGACATTCTCCAGTTTCTTGACAAAGGATGCTGGTTCTGTGGTGTGAGGTTTTATTGTGTAGAAGGGTAAGTCATGGAAAGGGAATAAAGGAGAGATCACATAAGGTCATCTTAGTCACTGTACTTCAGCTAGTGGCAGTTATCTTTGGGGTACTTTTCAGGAGACTGACCTTTCAAGCTGAGCCTTGTGCTACAAGAACAGCTTCCAACTTCGTTTGATATAATGCACTGATATTCACCTACATCTGAGGTGTCACAGTTGGTCACATTAAGAGTAAATACTGATTCTTTGGTGGAGATAGCATATTTCTTGCTGCTGAACATCTCCTTATTATTCTTCAGCCACTTCACCTCAAATGGAGGAGTACCAGTCACCTCACACTCGAGCATGGCATCCAAACCCTTTACTACCTCAGTAGGTCTCAACTCTCGAACAAATGTTGGAGGCTCTATAAAGAGGAATAAAGGGAAAGTGGATAGTAACCTTGGTAATTATGAGGGGAGAAATGGTCTCCCCCATTTCATCACTCTAGTTATGTGGCACAGCTGGATGATGACAAAATTTTCAAAACCAACCTTTTACTTTCAATTCGATGCTGCAGCTCTCACTACCTGCATCGTTGTGGGCTTCACAAACATAAATCCCACTATCCGACACTCTGGCTTGAGTGACTTTCAAAGTGGCTAGACCATCAATGAAAGAGATGCCGTACTTAGCTTCATCAGTCATTTCATTCCCATCCAAGTACCACGTGACACGTATCTCTGGTGTTCCTACTACATGGCACTCAAAAGTAGTGGACTGTCCTTCACGCAAAGCTACTACAGGAGTTGGCATCTGAATAAACCTGGGGGGCTCTAAAAGACAGACAAAAAAAGTGAGGTTTCATAACATTCAGTTTTTGGAAATACTTTTCCAAAAAGTGTTTCCTGTCTCCTCCCCCTCATTTGTACAGAAAAATCAGAACAACAAAGATGTGAATAACACTGAGCTGCACACCTTTTACAAACAAAGTTGCTTTACATGTTGCAGTCCCCACATCATTGCTTATCTGACAAGTGTAGTTTCCAGAGTCAGACATCCTAGCTGAGAAGAGCTCCAGCACACTAGATGTGTCATCCATCCAGACAGAACGATTGGCTCCAGAAAGGAGCTCCTGGCTGTCTTTAAACCACTTTATCTGCAGAGGAGTAGAGCCTTTCACCAATGCTTTGAACTGAACCCTAGCATGGGGCACAACTTCTTGGGACTGAGGCTTTTCCACAAAATATGGTGGCTCTATAACATGGGGGGAAAAAAAAAGAAAGAGGATTACTTTCTTCTAGGAAAGTTCCCAAACTATGAATTAGAGACCTAATAAAGAAAAGAAGGAGCTCAAACCTTTGACGGTTAAGAACCCACTGCATTGGTTGCTTCCTGCCTTATTTGTTGCTTCACAAGTGTAAGAGCCACTGTCTGTGCCTTCGAGTTTATTGATTTCCAGAAAGGCAGTATTATCATGGAAAGAGTATTTGTGCTTTTCACTTGTTGTTATTTCTTGACCATCCTTGTACCACTGGATACTTATAGGATGTGAACCAGACACTATACATTCCAAGTGGACAAAAGATCCCTTAATGCTGTCCATTTTCTTGAGCTTTTTGGTGAATTTAGGTGGTATAATGAGATCTATCCAAGACAGAGTAAAAAGACAAAGTATGAAATTCAACCATGGCTGTGGTAGATGTCAACTCAGAATAAGAGAAAGTAAGCAAAACCAATACTAAAAGAGGTCATACACACCTAGGACATTGATGCTGGCAGAACAGCTACTTCTTCCAACATCGTTGTGAACCTCAAATACATATTCCCCACTATCTTTCTTTTCCGCATGAAGTACCTTTAAGACTGAGACAGTATCTGTAACACTGATCTTATATTTTGGGCCTAAAGTCAATTCCTTGCCATCTTTGAACCATTTGGCTGTAATATCTTTTGTTCCGGAAAATTTACATTGCAAGGTTGCTGGGTCTCCCTCAGTCACATCTATTGACACAGCCTTATCCACGATTGTAGCAGGCTCTATTTTAAACAGAAAGACAGAGAAGAGTGTTAAGGTAACCTGTAAAAACAGCACTGGAAAAAAAACTGAGGTCACTGCAATTCAGAATAGGACCAACCTTTGACAGTCAGCAGAGCAGAGCACCTCTGAATTCCTGCCTCATTTTTAGCCTGGCAGAAATATTTTCCATCATGTTTCAGTTCAATAGACTTCACCAGAAGAGTGGCAATATTGTTCACAAAGGTCATTTTGATATTACTGTCTTCAATAACTTCATCACTGTCTTTCAGCCAGGAGACAGTGATGGGCAAGGAGCCTTTAACAGCAGCCTGAAACACGACTGTGCCCCCTCGAAGGGAACTAATGTTTTCTATCCTCTTCAAAAACTGGGGAGGCTCTAGCAGGAAGAAAGTGACTAAGTAAGTACAGGCCTGGTTCATGCTTGTGTGGCATGGAAACCACACTGGCACAAAATCACGCTTAGTGGAGTTTTCCACCTTGCACTAACCTTTCAGTGTGACCTCTGAACTGCAGAAACAGCTTCCCACATCATTTGTTACTCTACACTGATATTCACCAACATCAGACGCATCAAACCTGAAGACATGGAGGCTAATCAAAGATTTCTCAGTGCTTATTCTATGCTTCTTACTGCTCCGCACAGGCTTATCATCCTTCACCCAAAACACTTCAAAGGGAGGTGTACCAAGCACCTCACACTCCAAAACCACATCAGAATCCTTCAAGACTTCCATGGATTGAAACTCCTTTCTAAAATAAGGTGACTCTATAGTGCAAAAGAGAGAAAGTGCAGTTTATATTAATCACACTCTGGAAACCTGTAGAGCTGCACAGAATTTGAAGAGACAAACTGGTTGAGTTGCTGGAAGTCACACACACCTTTGACTGTAACAATGGTACTGCAAGTATCTTTCCCAGCATCATTTCTGGCCTCACAAATATATTCCCCACTGTCTTCAGTCTCAACGTCTGTAAGATGAAGTACTGCCAAAGATTTTGTGAAAGACATCCTAAATTTGTCACTCTCTTTTAGCTCCCTGTCATCCTTGAACCATGTGATTTTAATCTCAGGAGTACCAGTGACTTTACAGGTCAGTTCAGCATATCCACCTTTCTTCACCAGGTGAGCTGGCTCTAGCTTCTCCGTAAAAGCAGCAGGTTCTGTGGGTTTAAGAAAAACGTTCAGTAACAAGAAGGCAGCAAAAAGTGCCACTGAAAGACAAAAAGACAGTAGGAATGCAAACCTTTTACAAACAAGTTTGCAGTGGATGTTACTGAGCCAGCTACATTGGAGACTTTGCAGATGTATTTTCCTGAGTCGTTTGGTTTAACTGCGTAAAGTTCTAAGTAACTTGCTAATGCCTCTGTCATAATGTAGCAGGCTCCTCCAGTCATCAGCTCAGTATCACCTTTAAACCATTTCACTGTCAGCGGTGTAGTGCCTTTAAATGTGCCCTTGAAACGCACAGTCGATGCAGGCAGTACATCCTGGGACTCTGGTTCTGCAATGAAGCTGGGTGGCTCTAGATTGCATTGAAAGGAAACAATTGCCAAGAATAAGATAAACATCCTGCATTCTGGGGAAGAAAATCATTATCTCACAAAAAGAAAAAAAAATGCAAGAATTTTGAAACAAATTTCCAAACCTTTTATAAACAAAGTACTACTGCTGTCTTTGCTGCCAGCAGAGTTTGTGGCTCTGCAAATATAAACTCCAGCATCACTTGCATCTAGGTGTTTTACTTCCAAAGATGCAGAGCCTTCTGCAAAGTGTATTGTGTACTTCGCGCTTGTAGTGATCTCAGTGTCCTGCTTAAACCAAGAGACAGTCATTGGAAGAGAGCCAGAAATTTTGCAGTCTAGACGGCACGAGGTGCTAATGATGCTGTCAATGTTCTTCAGTGGTTTAGTAAAGAAGGGAGGGAGAGTGCGATCTGTTGGGTATGAAAAAACATGAAAGAAAGAAATACATGAACAAAAGATAAATACAGTTCTACTTCTCGCTCTGCTAGACTCAGAGCAGAATAGCAGGGATCTTTGCCAGAGCCAGTACCAACCTAGCACAGTAAAGCTGGTAGTATAAGAGCTGATTCCCACATCATTGGATATTTCAAAGGTGTACTCGCCACTGTCCTGCATTTCAGCAGCATAAAACTTGAGTTGGGCAACATTATTTTTAAAGCTGATCCTGTATTTTTTGCTGGCAGGTAGTGGCTTTCCGTCTTTGAACCATTTGGTTTTTAGCTCTGGAGTGCCTGTGACAGTGTACTCCAAAATGGCTGGGTCTCCTGCTGTCACCTGAATAACTTCGGATTTTTCAATGATTTTGGCAGGTTCTACAACAGAATTAAACAATCAGCGTTAAGGACAAAAGTAAATTGCTCTTCTTCTTAGGCGGGAGACCATGCAGAGGAAATGGCACTCCTCCACTGACCTTTAACTGCCAGTTCACCAAAACAGGACTGACTTCCTGCATCGTTCTCAGCCACACAAGTGTATTTGCCACCAGAGCTCAGCTGGACACCAGTAATTTGCAGTGTTGCTAGCCCGTGTTCAAATGTCACTCTCACTTTGTTATCATCTTGAATAATCTCTTTGCCTTTCATCCACATCACAGAAATAGGCTCTGACCCTTTCACCACAGCCTGTAACGTAACATTGTCTCCAGCCAGAGCTGTCACGTTTTCAATTTTCTTAACAAAAGAAGGTGGTTCTAGTTCAAAGAAAAGAGATAAAAAGAAATACTCATCTGCTACATCATTCCATGAAATCCGCTGCACAAGATGAGACAATGCACACAGCATATGACGCAATTCAGTTAAAGAGCAGGCGAAGGAAAGAGCTACATTACCCAGCTGGAAGAGTAATGCAGAGCCCTTTAAGCCAAGTGTTCTTTAAATTCATAGGTTTGATGTCAGGTAAGAGTTAAGATATGCACAGAGTTTTAAGAGAAGATACCCTCCTCTCCACCCACCCGCAGAAATCCAAAGACAAGACGTTTTAAGAAATAAGAGGTTCCCTGCAGTGAGCGGAGTGTTCTCTCTCCCACTGACCTTTCAAGATATATGTTGCACTGCATATGCACTTTCCAACTTCATTAGCTATGATGCATTCATATTCACCAACGTCCGCGCTATTAAAAGATGACACCTCCAGAGAAACAACCGCTTTCTGAGAGGTCAACCTGTATTTTTTACTACTGCGGATCTGTTTCTTGTCTTTGTACCAGCTAATCTCAAACGGTCCGGTGCCAGCAACCTCACACTGAAGAACGGTGTTTGTTCCCTTCACTACCTCTGCTGGTTCAAGTGTTCGGACGAAAGATGGAGGCTCTATAAAAGCAGCAAGAAATGATTAATTGCCCATGCCAAAATAAAAGGAAGATTGTTCTCAAGTGTGACTGTCAGCAGCATGAAGAACAGACCTTTGACAACTACTTCTGTGGTGCAGCTGTCGCTTCCAACCTCATTTACGGCTTCACATGAATAGCTTCCACTGTCATCAACCTTCATCTCCCAGATGTCTAACACAGCCACAAAATTGACAAAAGACATCTTGTGTGTATTGCTTTCAAGGATTTTCTTATTGTCCTTGAACCAAGAAACCTGGATTTCAGGAGACCCTTTGATTTTACATTGAAGCCGTGCAGAGTCACCCGGGGTCAGTAAATAAGATGGATCAACCTTCTTCACAAAGGATGGTGGTTCTAAAAATAGGAAGTAAAAAAAAAAAAAAAAAAAAAAGAGGAAGGGAAGAGGAAGGGAGAAGAGAGAAGGAGGGGGAAGGATGGGGGAAAAACGAGGTAGGGAGAGAAGGGGAAAGAAAATAAAAGAAGCCTGAAATACAAAGACTGGTTCCTAGCACCAGAACAAAATGTGACTTTAGAAAAAGATCAACACAACAAATGCTGAGCTGCAATTCTTGTGGTCTCTCTTGCCCTCCCGCCCCTCCGCCTCTCCCCCACATGCAGGAGCAACTCTTGGATGTGTTTAACAAAAGAAATATTGAAGCAACGCACAGTGCATTGAAAGGCAGCTGGGGAAAAAAGTAAGAGATGAGTGGAGCTGATGGAAGATCTGAGGGGAGTTCACAGCATTATTTCACGTCAGAAAAGAATTTGCCTGCAAAAAAAAGAAAGCGGGACCCGAAGAAGGGAAAGGTAAGTGGGACCTAAGACTATCTTACCTCTGACTGTGACACTGGCCGAAGAGGAGCTGCTTCCTGCCTCATTTGAAACGGTGCATACATAATGGCCAGAATCCTTGAGTTTAGCCAGAGGAATTTCAAGTGAGGCTATTTTGTCTTCAAAGAAAATTTTATAATCTTTGCCAGGGGGGATTTTGTTTCCATCTTTTGTCCATTCTACTCTTACTTTCCTATCTTCATCTACCTGGCATTCAAGACGTATCTTCTTATTGACTGCTGACTGCACTGATTGCAAAACTTTAATAAAGTGAGGCTTGTCTATAATAACCATTTCAGCCTGGCAAACGTCAGCCCCAAACTTATTAGAAGCTTTGCAGGTGTAAATCCCCCTGTCACTGGTGGTGAGAAGGGAAATTTCTAACACGTGCTTGTTTTCTACTTTGGAAATCTTGTAGTGGTCCGAAGATGAAATGGTTGTGCCGTCTTTCTGCCAGGCGACATCAATGACTGGAGTGCCCGAAACGGTACACAGGAACTTGGCGCTTTTGCCCACAAAAGTGGTGATAGATTCAGGTCTGGTAAGAAACGTTGGCGGAAGTGCTTCTGCAAAATAAAGGGGTTCATTGTTATGCAGAGATGGGGAACAGATTATAGCTGTCTCCTCATTTGCCGGGGACAGAGAACAGAAAGGGCAGTCTGCCACAAATCACTCTTAAACAAAAGAAGTCAGCAGCGAAGGAGATAAGAGGTATTAAAGATCATGAATTTAAGCTTTTGGTTTTGTACTTGGATCTATATAATGTTCCAGAGCTTAAAGGCATTTTAGCTCTGGAGCAATGTACAAACTAAAGGAAATAAAACTGAAACCCAGAAATTCCTTTCCTAAAAATGACACATTTGTACATGATTCCCTCAAGATAGTCAAGTTTTCTTATGTTTCACAGTTTGCACATCCTTCTTTAGGCTCTAGCATCTGACAAAGACATCTTAGCAAAGATCAAAAAGACTCTTCCCACAAAAAGTCAGAGTAAAAAAAATAAAAAAATAAAAATAAAAGATAACCAAAAAAGCCTGCAAGATGCTTAAAAAAAAAAAAAAAAAAAAAAAGAGAGAGAGAGAGAGAGAGAGAGAGAAGATAATTGCAGAGTTATCAATAGATTAAAAAATATGGTTTTGCAAATTGTAACACTGTTGAACTGTCTTTCGTTTGTTTAAGAGGACCTATCCCCCATCACACAGAGTTCCCCTTGGAAACGGCACCCGCACATTCAGGTAAGTGCAGCTGCATAGTCTGCCTCACAAGTATGTCTGCAGGATAAATGTAAGATACAAGGACAATCACACTACCTACTACACCAAAGAAGTCAGATTTAAAATCGTACGTTTGCTCATTGTCTGCAAGTGAAATAAACCTTCAAGAATGTTATCACAAAGCAATCCCATTCTACAGACAAGCTAGTTCCTTCCACTCTTTTGCCACTTTGTATTCTCTCCTGAAACTTTTCACACTGGTTCTCTTTTCTAGATACAGAAAGCATCTAAAAGAGCATTTTTGAAAATCACTTTTACTTATCAAGATTACGTATGGATTACACATAACAGTAGCAATCAAGAGCCTTACCGTAAATGTTTGTGAGTATACCAGGGTAACCATTTCAAGATATCAAGATATCAAGATATTGAATAAAAAAAGAAGTGCTTGGGACTCTACTTACCAGTTACTGTTAAAAAGGCTGTGGAGCTTACGCTGCCATGCTGGTTGGAAGCCTTACAGCTATACTCTCCACAGTCAACAACCTGAGGCCTTGGGATCTCCAGCGTGGAAAGGTAGTTGGAGGAGCGAATTGAGTATTTGTCCCCATCATAGATCTCTCGGCCAGCTTTGTACCACTGGAACTTGACATTAGGAGTAGTTTCTACTTCACAGGTAAACTTGGCCACGTGGTTTACGGCCACCTCCAGAGGTTCAAGCCTTCTTCTCAGGATTGGTGCAACTGAAATCAGAAGCAGAGATTAATTCAAAGCCATGCCCACTATAACGGTGAAAAGTAAGTGAAGGCACTAACTGAAACAAAACATGTGATCTTGCAATCCATATAAGATATAAAGGAAAAAAAAAATCTGTAAGAAATGAAAGTAGTACAATGTTCAGTGGACAGATTGCAATGGTGCAGAATAACATCAGGAAACACAGTGGTGAAACCACAAAAGTGATGTGCAATAGCAACATGTAGAGCCATGCAAAGTGACAATGTGAATAAGAAATTGTGCCAAAACAGGGCAACGATCTGAAGACTGGATGCAGTAGTGATGAAGCGTAAGAGCAGATTCACTTCCTGGGTGACAGTGGAATGAAGTGCTCAGGACTTCAGTGCAGTTCATCCTGATCTTGGCTGTATACTGTGGAAGTGAGAGACTACAATGTGGTAAAAGAAAATCATGAATAAAGAGAGAAAGGAGACCCTCTGATTAGTGCTGTGATTGTATTAGTATTGTATCTGTATCCAAAGATACAGATACATAATGGGGCAATTTCCTTAGCAGAGCAGTGTATTAGAAAGGTGGTCTTTTATCACCATAATCCAACCTCTTTTAACAACTGTGAGCTTTGCTGTTGTTGTTCTTTTTCCACCTTGATTCAGTGCCTCACAAGTGTACTCTCCTTGGTGGATCTCCCCACACACTTGGCTGATCACTAATTTGTATGTGTCTTGATCTTGCAAACACTTGAATTTGTTGCCTGAAGACACCAGTTTACCGTCAAAGTACCAATTCACCTCTCTGACATTTGTTATGACAGACACCAGAGTGACACTCTCCCCTTCCTCCACAATAGTGTTAACCAGCTTGCTGTGTATGATAGGGTAATTCTCTTTACTCAGCTCATCCTCTAGATTCACACCTTTAGTTTCCAGACCCTCTCTGCCCTCCTCCTCATGTATTTTTTCCCTTTTCTCCTTCCTTTTCAGTATTTCTGTGGGTTTCTCAACAGGAACGCCTGCAAGAGCTACATCAGCAGTGGCTGCCGCTGCCCCCACATCCTTGATTTGGCCATGTTCCATCAGAATGTTGACTACTTCAGCAGATAAAGGCTGTTCCAAGGGTATTTCTGCTTCTGTAGTTCTCTCAGCCTGCTGGGGCTCCAGCTCAGAAGCTTCATCAATGGATTTTCCTGAGTTAAGTGAATGAGGAGGGCTTGGCAATGCTTCGGGTTTTTCATCTGTCAAGAGGTGCTTTTCTTCATAAATAAGAGAATAGAAAGCCTCCTTTAATACTTTTTTCTGGTCAGCTATCTCAATGTCGACTTCTGCAAGAGAGACTGGAATTTCAATGGGATTGAGTCCTCCTGTGGTCACAACATAGGTGCACAAGGCATATTTATGTTCCTTGGTGATTTTTAGTGCCTGTACTTCAATGCTTTCTTTATCAGCCAACCACTCTGAAAACAAGAGGTTTTGCTCACTTACCACTGCAGCTTTTAGTGCATCTCTGATCTGGGACTTTATATCTAGGTGACAGCTCTTGGGAACCTGATAAGTGAGCTGGCTCTCTTTGGTAAAGGCTTGGCTTGTCCAGAACTGGCTAGCATGCATCATTTCACAGGGCTGTCTTCCTACCTTGGAATACTGCTTAAGTGGGCTAGCAAGATTGATAATGTGTTCTTCCTCCAAAGGCTGGTTTTCTTCTAGTAGTAAGGGAAATCTCACAGCCTGTCCCTCACGGATTCTTGCAGCAAAATCTTCCTCTGCCGCTTCCAGGGCAGAAATGTTCTCCAGGGGGACAGCATGACCCCCTGTGCACGTCAATTCGGAGGGAAATCTGGGTTCAGCCTTTAGCTCACCTTGCATTGCCTGGAAGCCTTCTATGACTTGAAAGTGGTCACCATACATGACATAGCTCTCAGTGGTGCTTGATACCTGTTGAAAGGCTTGGGAAACTTCTGTCTTCAGAGCAGCCATCTGTTCTAACTCCTCTGGGATGACTTGCTCTTTGGGCAAGAACATCTGTGCAGCCACAGTTCCAAGGCAGCCTGGCAGTGGTGTTTCAGTTGCCACTTCAGATAAAACACTTTGGGGGCCACCAGGGAAGGTCTGCACCAGCTCTGCCAGAAGCTTGTTGTTCTCCTGCGTTGTGGCTGCCTGGGTCAGCATTTCTTCAACACCCTGCACAGCAAGGCAGGTTGGTGGCAGGCTAGGTAATATGCCCTCCTTGGGCAGCATGTGCTCCATCTGGCTCATCTGGAGCTGGAGGAGAGCCTGGGGTTCCCTCATGGGCTCAAGGCTAAGGACTCTTTCTGCAGAGGGAAGCTCGCTGGCCTCCTCATAGGACGTAGGACTTTGGTCCTCTGTCACCATGGAGTGCTGCAAGGCTGGACTCTGATTGCACACAAGATGCTCCTCAGGCAGCACAAGGAGCTCAGCAGAGCATACAGCCTCACCCAGTGAATTCACTGCTCGGCAAACGTACAGCCCAGTGTCCTCCTCAGTGCACTCCTGCACTGTCAGGGAGCCCGAGCCATCAGGATGGTGAGCCACAAAAAAACGTGCATCCAAGAAAAGTTGCTCGTTCCCCTTGAACCACTCCACATCAGGGCATGGCTGCCCAGCTACAGTGTACTCAAAGACAGCGGTGAAACCTGGTGCACACTGCACACTGTCTGGTACTCTGGCAAAGCAAGGGGCCCCTTGTGCCCGCTGCTGCACGTGGAGGTGGGCACTGCACGTGGCCTCACCGTGCACATTGCTGGCTGTGCACGTGTACTTGCCCTCATCCTGCATGCCTGCATAGGGGAGGATGAGGCTGTGGTCATTTCCAGCAAACACTAATTTACGATCTGTGGAGGGGGTTAGCTTCACACCATTGAAAAACCACTGGATTTTGGGTGTGGGGCTTCCAGTAACAGTAACAGACAGCCTAGCTACATCTCCCTGCCAGACTTCAACATCTGAGATCTGTCTGAGGAAAACAGGTGCACTGCCTCCCTCCTCCATTTTCTGCTTGGTTTGACTGGAGTAAACTGGTTTTTCAGACTCAAATTCAAGTGTTTTTTCTCTATCGGGCAACTGAAGGCTGCTGCTGTAGCCTTCACTTCTTCCTTCCTCAGAAGACACAGTAAGAGAACTAGAGATGTCTGTATGGAAAAAAAAAAAGTTTAGTTTTACTAGAACGTTTAAGTAAACACTTAAAACAGCAATAAGCAGCTAAGAGTAACGTACAGCTGTGTTAGTGCTGTATACAATACAACTATTTTTGTATATCTGGAGTGTTTCTTACTACCATACTGCAGGTACACAAGGTTCTCCTTCTATCAGATACTTACCATACACAGCAACCCATGCTGTGCCATCAGGTTAATTAAGAACTTGCCATATAGATTAACGTGGGCATCTCATTAAACTTGACATCACAGTATGCTTTAGACATAATCTGATGGATGATTTAGCGAACACTGAAAATAACAGTCAAGCAACAGTGGCGCATTTCACAAATACAGTGGTATGAGCCTTATTTATAGACACACGCATACAAATAAATAGAACAGCAGTGCTAAGGCCCTGATTAATTCAAAATACCAAGAAAAAGCAGAATGTCAGATTCCAAGCTGGAAAAAATATAAGTTTTCAGCACACCAGCTCTTCCTCTGGTATAGTTACTTAATCTCTTTCAACTCTTGCATGTAACACAAGAAATTTCTGCTCCCCCAGAGCAGAAATTTCATCAAAATTTCTGTTTTTATCAAAAGAATCTTTAAGTTTAAACACTGTTATTACTAAAATAATGAGTTTGCATTCTTGCTTTACTGTCATTTATTTGACTTTCTGCTTTTAAGTGGCACAACTCTGCATATTAGAACTCCTACAATACCAGAAAAAAATAAGAGCACTTTGTTTTTTCTTCTTGCTGTTGTGAATTTAGACCCTTATGTGATGGACCACTTAGTTCTAATGGTGGTTTAAAATGTGAGGAAACAAATGGAGGAAAGAATGTGTTGTCCTCACATTCTTGACAGCAGAAACATCAGTGAATTCTGAGGTTTCTGGGAATGGAACAAGATATCCAAGAAAAGCACAGCACAAAAGAAAATCTTTAGAAATCAGATACTGTTGTCCACCCAGAAACAAATTAGCTCAGTTGTTGCCCATGATATTTGATGTTGGATGGACACTGAAGTTGTTAAAAAAGAATGAAAGGAGTGGATAAATATCTCCAGTTATTCCAATGATGAACCTTGATAACTTTTCAATTACAGCATCTTAAATTCCAAAATTTATTGTGAAATAATAATTTTTGCTGTACTCAAATAACAACTATGAAGAAGAACAGAATATGCCATACCCAATTCTTTCACATTAGCTCTAGCAATTATTAACCTTTCCACAAATGCCAAAGTATACATGATATAGCACTATGCATGGTGACTACCTGAAGAGATGCTTAGATGAAAAAGAAATTACACCAGTCCTTTAGTAGAATCTAACAGCCTTGTTAAACCTGTAGGACAGCTTCCTTGAAAATTCAGTGTACTACTAAATTTGAAGATGGACAGCTGACCTGGGCCATGAGAAAATATAAAAATTGCAGAAGATAAATTATAACAACACACGAGATGGCTTTATACACAGGAATGAAGAAAAAGTTAATGCATTTTGGTTTTGTTCCTGTATATTTATGCCAGAAAAAATACACCATTTTTTGTTTTTTTCATATTGTAACAGTCTCTGAAATGAATAAAATACAGGAAGCAGTGGACTTAAATAGTTTACATATTTATTTCACAAATTAACCATACATGTTAACATACAATACACATTGATGACAAACATATGTAATCCATCCTTTTTTTTTTTTTTTTTTTTTTTTAAAGATACATGGTTTGTGAAAATGAAGAGCTTAAATTTGACAATGAATTCATGATTTTTTAAAAAATTCCTATGAAGGTATAAGGAGGAGAGGTGGTCAAACATGGCACAAGGCTATACCAAATATCCCAGAGGAAGCTTTCTCAAACTAAATATTTTCAGATTTCTACTGTTGTAGCACTGGTTGGATCTTCATAAGCACACCATAGCGCTCCTGGCCAATTTATGAAACTTAAGTCCTTTAAACATACATAAATCACAAACAGTACTGCACAAGTAGACATAAATATGCCCTGCCTTATATCTCAGATGTGGACATGAACTGGGACTTATTTGGGTACAAGGTTTTGAAGCAGGATCATTTTCTACTAAAATTTTCAGTTCATGAATCTGCAAATTAAACACAGGTCACAGTCACTTAGGACCTAACCAAAGGCTCTCTGACCTCATTGGCTTTGGACCTGAAAGACCCTTCATGTCACAGCTGATACAGAACAGAACAATTCATCCCACTTTTCCTAGGGACCTCTGCTGCCTAATAATCTATGCAAGGAATGGATAAGGACACAACAAGAAACAATTATCACAATGTTGGGTCAGACACTCTCCCTTCTCTTTCCTACCACCATTATCTATGAGAAATTACAATTGCCTCCGCCTACTAACAACATACTTAAATATTTATTACAGGGTCATGACTGGGAAGAAAATTAAGTGACATGATTATACTAGCCTAATCACTCCAGTCATTTTCTCCACATGCTGTGTCATTAGAACTAGCCACTCCTGCAAGTCATGTTTATACTGTGCAGCACAACTGGGCAAATTGAATCTTCTGATCAAAAATTACTATAAACGATGGAATACTTTTAAAGATTATTGAGGTTTTGAGGCATATTGACCTCAGTGTGAGAACGCATAGAACTCAGAAATAAGAACAAGCATGACCATTACTGAATATACTACAGGAATAGCTTTCTCACACTTAAAATTATCATGCTCCTTGAAGCAGTTTGCAAGGCAACTGACAGTAATTTGTAAATAATCTGATTTTTCACAAAATTGAAGTAAAAATAATTTGTGGTAAGGGTTCTTAAACTTTGGTTTCCATGCTGGCATATAGGCACCTGTAAAGCTGGCACATGCATTGGCACTATTTAAATTCTGCTAAATATTAATAACTTTAATACTTTTAACATGCTTGCTCATTCAGTTTAGCACTGTTGATCTAAGATTAATTCAGTTCTGATTTAATTATGTGAAATACTGCTGACTCCTCTTCCTAAATGTTGGTATTAGTTTAAATACAACTGAGAACGATAATGTAAAAATCTCTTCTGCTGAGAAAATGCCAAAGGTAACTGAATACATTTTATTTATTTCTGGTCACCTTGAAACACAGCACTCTTATCTGTTACTAATAATTGCTTTTTTAAAAAAGGAATCTGTATTCATTTCTAATCCCTAACAAGAATACTGCATAAAATTTGTATTTTAATACTATATATATTCAGTGAGTGATACTGGAATACGGGGACAACAAAAAAATTGTATTAATGAATTTACAGTTACATAATTGATGTATTATGCTCCCTTTCCTTTATCTTTAACTTTTAAAGATACAGTACAAAATAGATTTTTATGTTTATTACTTGGTAATAGAGTAAAAATCCTGTCCAGTCCCTACTAAAGCAAAGCCTTCTCTTCCCATTGTACTAATTTTCTTTGCTACAGAGTAATCCAATTGATATAATTTAAAAAAAAAATCAGATACAACAAAGTCAGTAGAGTGAAGTTCATGGTAATAATAGTTTTGCAATGATAGAAACTGTAAACAGGATTTGAATTATACTCACATTGTCTGACACAACATTGTGAGAAAGGGGTGTATCAGCTTAAGGTGTTATTTCATGGAACTGTGTCCAAACTAAAAAGCAGGCCAAAGTTAGTATTGTATAACCATTAGTCTACAAGAAAAAGGCAATTTCTACATTTTTAGGTGATTTCCAGGCTATGAATTACAAAAACAATAGCACTAGTACAGACATAGGACTATATACACTATACAAAACAAACAATTCCTGCATATGAGTGTTAATTGAAATATCTTTACAAGAATGAGTAAGGAGCTCGGGAGGAGTCTGAAATACACCTCAGTTCAGAAAGTATACACAAAACTTATTCACACTGTAAATCTCACTTAAATTCCTCAACAAAAGCAAGTTTAAGTGAGATAGAAATATGCCCACATAGGGTGAACTTCATCCCTAAAGAGATGAAAAACAATGCCCCTAAAATTACTGTTGCATTTTTACCTGCAGTGAGTAACAGCATAAAACATTTAGTGTTTCAAAAGAGACTCTGAAATAAGTTATGGAAATTCAGTACAATGTTAACAATGCACAAGTCTCAGCAGTTCCTACCCTGTTAATAGCTATACATTTGTATAGCCCACTGTCACTTTGCATCAAATTGTCAATAGTAAGGCTATGAAAACCGCCTTCCTCTTCCTGCATATAGTACCGGTCCCCTTCCAACAACATCCCATCCTTGTACCAATGGACACTCGGGTGAGGGGAGCCAGTTACAAGACACTGGAAACATGCTGATGCACCAACAAATGTACTGTAGTCAGAAATGAGAGTCAGAAATTTGGGAGGAACTTCTGCAACCTGGAACTCAAAGCTGCAGCTCTCTGTTTCCTCCACCCTAGACTCAACCTCCTTCTCTTGGGATGGCTCTCTGGACACATCACAATTAATGCTGACAGTCTTATCCCCTTCCACTTCATGCTCTTGTTCAGTCACCTCGGGTCTCCCAGAGTCCTCAGCACATGGCTTAAACTCACACTCCATCTTTACTTCTGACCATTTTTCTGACGTCTCAGCCTTACTTAAAAGCAAGTCACACTTCTCAGGCCTCTCTGGTTCACTGCCCATGTGTGTCTCACTGCTTGCCATAGCACTTGCTCCCTGCAAGTCACTCCCTGTGACTGTGACAGAGCCTTTACACATCGCTTCTCCAAGCCTATTGATTGCCTGACAGTGATACCAGCCACCATCAGAAGGACCTACGTTAAGGACCTTCAGGCTGTGAAGTCCTTCTTTCTGACTTACTACGTACTTCCCTGCAACAGGTGTCACACAGGTGTCACCTCTGAACCACTGCACCACTGGGACAGGCGTCCCTGTAACCACACATTCGAAGACTGCCTCTGAGCCTTCTGTAACTTTCACATCTGTAAAGGGCACAGCAAAGCGGGGAGGCATTT